GACTGCAGTGTATAATTAGCAGGGGTGAGCAAGAACACCAAATCTTCTGTATCTGTACTCAGAATTGGCGGGGCTTAATCTATAAGTGTACTATTAACTGGAAGTTATTTAAGCCTGAAATTTCTATCAGAACTTGCTATATTTATTAGAAAACCATTTACAGAACAGCCTCAGAATTGAGCTTCAGAGAATAGTAATTGATTTTTTTAAATTCAAGACACATTTACTCTGATGATATCATAGAAAGTATCTGTACCAGATACTCGTTTTAACCGAGTACTTGATAAACCCTAATAATTAGTTGATTATGTATATATTTTCTCAAACTCAAAAGACGCAGCACCTAGGCAATCCTCATACTCTCGCCTTTTTTTTCAACTGATAACTTACTACGTAAGTAAAAGTGTCAAATAGTCAACACAATGAATTAATGCAAGTTTAACGTTCTAAAACTCATACAGTTGAGTTCAAAATACTAAACTTGTCAGAGCTATTTCAGTTAAAAAGAAGAAGTAAGTTGACATGATTAAATGGTCTATGATTCTTTTCAGTGTACTTCTTCTTCTTTGTAAGTATTGAACATAGTGACGAAACATGCTCTATAGCAGAGGTCACTAATAGGCGGACCGCGGTCCCAGCCGCCGTCCTCTCTGGGCCGCCGACCTACAGCCCATTTATTATTGAGACTTACTACCTCGTGACGGAGCGTTTCTATTTTAACCCGCGCAGCTTTTCTAGCATTTACTGTACTGGTTTAGAGGACCAGGAAACTCACAGACCAATCGCAGTGCTCCAATCGTCTCATGTGACGCTGCTCAGCCAATCAAGTCTGTGCATACCGATGCTTGCGAGTCGAGTCCGCGAGATTCACCAGAGACGTTTGGAAACACACACGAATTGAGGAGACGAAAGATAAAAGAGATTTCACATGACTTTTAATCAAGAATGTACAGATTTTTACATGTACATTCCTCCCACGGGCAGTTCAAAACCAGAATATCTCATAGATCTCCAATATGCTAGCTGGAGCTCACGTTTCTCACTGAACAACAGAAAGTAGGAAAGTGGTAGCTCTGTAAGAGGAAATGAAAGAGAAGAGGAGGCAACAGCTGTTCATTTGTTATGATGTGTTGAGTGTTTATTATAAAATTGGTTAAGATGCACTTCATCACTTCAAGCTACACTTTTTATTAAATTTTTTCTAAAAATTAGGCACTTTAATTTAGTTTACTTAAATTTAGAATTTATTATTTGAATAGTTATTATTTATTATCCCTCCAGTTTGATGTGAAATCTGACTGAAATATATTTGATTGACAGTCCGTTGTTGACTAAAAACATGTGTTGATACAACTATAGGTTTTAGTACTGAATGATAACGCAAGTTCGTCGTTTTGATGTTCCGGACCTTTGCTTCAGGAAATTTTCTCTAACTAGACCTCTAGAAATCTAATTGAATACCCCTGCTCTATAGAGCAGTTTGGTCGTTTTGGCTACTGTAAAAACATGGTGGCTCAACATGGCGACCTCCTTGTAAGGGGACCCACGATGTATGTAGCTAGAAATGACTCGTCTAAGGTAATAAAAACATAACAGTTCATTGTATAAGGTCTTCATACACCACTGGAAACATAGTTATGGATATTATGTTGCATTTCTGTCAATAGTTCCCCCTAAATGTTACACACTGGACTTCTAAGGCAGGTCAGCAGGGGAAAAAGTTAGCCTAACTCTGCCAAATGGTAAGAAAATCTGTCTACTAACACTTTTAAATCTCAGTAATTATCAAACTATCTGCACTTATCCAAGAAACCAGCTGAGGCTCCAAGAAGTTATTGCACCCAGCCAAGAAAGAGTCCAGTGCTCGTTTTTACACTGCACTGATTAAACATGTGAAACGTAACGTGATAATTAGTGATCTTTACAGTTTCGCCAAATTTGTTAACTTTGGATAGAGTCAGGATAACTGCTAGCTGTTTCCAATCTGTTTTATGCTAAGCCAAGGGTCTCCTACTGCAGCTTCATGTTAAATGGTCATAAGAGTAGTATTGATCTCTATTGATGTAACTCTCAGCATTCATCCATTTGTTAGAAAACTGAATATCTCATGTTAGTAGACTTGACTTGACTCACCTCTGTCCTGGAAAGCTGCAGTCACCTTACTGGTCAGGCCAGGGAAGGTCTGATCCAACTGCTTGGGGAATCCCTGGTCCATAGTCCTTTTGACCTCATCATAACTGAAGAAACACAGACAGTAATTAGATACATTCAAGAAGGGGAAAGGTAAAGAACAGCTCATTCTGAGTCTTGCCAGATGCTTCATCATAGAGCACTGCATCGATTTTCTTCACAGTTGCGGGCAGACCAAAACTGCTAAGACTTTTAGGATAGCCAGATACAGGATCAGAGCCACTGAAAGCCCACACTCTCTGATCTGTATAGATATAAAGGAAATACTTTTTAATATGTGCATGTAAAGGTAAATAATGTAGTCTTGAAAATAGTGTCAGATTAGGAGCTTCAGGTAGATACAAGTACAGTACCTTTAAAGAATAAGACACTGTCTGATTGTCGGCTTTCATAAGCAGCGTCGATGTTGATGGGGGCGTTGGGCCAGAAGTTTGTTATGAGACTTGCTGTGGTGTCACACTCTTGGAGTAGCTACGCCAGAAGAAGCTGAAAACACACAAAACAATTAGTTCATAAGCGAGGCATGTTTGTTGAGAACATACTTCATGTGGAGTGGCCAAACTCATGGGCAGCCACCATGAAGGGGACGTAGCCTACAGCAGAAACAGGTACAGGTAGAATTGTTCTGGATGAAGACCAATTTTTCATGTCAAAATACACACAATGGAGTTTTGTCTTTAAAATGTTCTCACATGGCAGTGTAGGAAGAAGGACACAGAGTCAAAGTACCAAAACCACAGTTAAGAAAAACTCCAGTACAAATAGAAGTCCTGTATTACGTAAATATACTGAATTAATAATAAAAGCACTACATCAGCAGAAAAACGTCACCTGTGATGGATATTATTATTTATAACATTATTAGATTTAGCATAAATGTGTAAACAGCATTTTATTCTTGTCTCTGTTTGAGGGGGAGCTAGTTTTTACTGCTTTTAACTACTAGATTCAACTACTACTAATTACAGTTATATAGTTTAGTCCAATGGTTTCCAACCATCTGATCTGATGCTTTATCATATTAAGCTGATTCACAAAGATGTATTCATCTCTTGGACTCTTCTCTGATCTTTTTCTGAAATATAGTTATAGTATATAAATTTAAACGAAATTAATTTAAATGAAACCACATCAAACGTTTAGGGGGGAAATGTTTCTTTGGTGAAACTTTCAACAACTCACACACTTCTGAAACATGACAAGAAGCCCTAGCATTTTTGAATAATTGTAAGCCTATCATATTTTTAATATAAAATCTAAATCTGAGAAGTTACTCTTAACAACAAGAGTTGTTGTACAACTATAGTTACAACTACAAACAAATTTAGCAGCGGAAAACTACTACATCAAGAACACTCCAGTAAATGTCCAAAGTTACTTTCCACCACTGTCCCACGCAGAGCATAAATAACAAACTCACTATTGTTGGAGCGGAAAGTGAACCTCTCATCTTCATCAAAATGAGCATCTCCTCCAATTCCAGGCCCTGGGCCGAAGGCATGGGCAAGAGTGCGTCCAGGACCATCAAAGGGGTAATAATCACCATGCTCTGTTAGCAAGAACAAATTCACGTCAAGCTTTGCAAACAAAATAGATCTAGAGAACTCAGAACTGGGTTTTAGTAAGACAGCATCTTACTGCTACAGATGATCAGCTTTCCAATGTGATTCAAGACACAGAAAACATATGTAGTTAAAGCTAAGATACTTTATGGGACATCACAGTTTATAACTGGGAAAGACAAGAAAAGTTATTTGTACTCACGTAGGCGGCCAAAGGAGATCATGATGTCAGCAGTGCCACTGTAGATTCTTGTGAATCTCAGAGGAGTGACTTTGGCCCAAACCTGCAGTGCCTTCTCTATGGAGTCATCGACCTCTGACACTGGCATGTCAGGTGTGTAGTTCTCTATCCTGTAGGACAGAAAAATAGTCAAGAACATTATTTGATAGACTTCCTACAATTACTGTTTCACCACTTTCTCTCTTCAGATCATTCACCTGTAGGTGAGGCTGTTCTTAGTCCACTTGAGGTTTTCTCCAAAAGTGGAGCAACTGGCATCGATGCCGTCTGGAACGCCACAGCGGGGCTTCTTCATCATCTCTAAGGTATCAGCATCCAGCGTCCAGACGCTTTTATCCAAAGCGACTTACATTTGAGGAACAACATACAAGCATCAACAGAGCATCAACTACAGATCTACAACTGACAATAAAGACTAGTAAGAGCTCACAGTACATATCACATCAATGGGGTAGATACCTAGGGAAGGAAGTAAGAGTTAACAAAAAGTGCAATCAAAACAAAAAATGCAATCAATACAAGATCATTGTAGGGAAGAAGAAGAGCACAGGACGTGTATGTTAGAGGTTAGGAGTTAGAGGTGTTATAAGAGGAAGTGTTCTCGGAAGAGATGAGTTTTCAAGAGCTTCTTGAAGTTAGAGAGGGACGCCCCTGCTCTGATGGCGTGTGGTAGCTTGTTCCACCATTGTGGTGTCACAGATGAGAATAGCTGGGACTGGGATTGCTTTGTGTGAAGGGATGGCAGAGCCAGGCGGCGTTCATTGGAGGAGCGTAGCGGCCGAGAAGGAACGTAAGTTTGTAATATGGAGTTTAGGTAGATGGGTGCAGACCCAGTAGTCACTCTGTATTCAAGCATTAGTGACTTGAATTTGATTCTGGAGGCCATGGGGAGCCAGTGGAGGTCACTGAGTAATCGAGTGACATGAGTCCTTTTGGGCTGATCAAAAAACAGACGCGCTGCTGCGTTCTGAACCATTTGTAAGGGTTTCACCGCACAAGGTGGGAGACCTGCTAGGAGGGCATTGCAATAGTCGATGCGAGAGATAACCATGGCCTGTACCAGATTAAGGTTGAATCGGTGTGTACATACGCAAAAACAGTGTCGGACACCGTAGTTTTCACTGGACCCCTGCCAAATCTGACCAGTGATGACACGTATAGCCGCATGTCGTCATTCCGCCGCTGGTTGTCGAGGTGGTGTCCAGCAAACGATGTGGGCTTTGTAGATCATTGGCAGACTTTCTGGGGAAAACCTGGTCTGATTTGGAGAGACGGTATCCATCCCACTTGGGATGGAGCAGCTCTCATTTCTAGAAATCTGGCCAAGTTATTTTAGTGGACTAATCCATGACAACCCAGAGTTGAGACCAGGAGGCAGAGTCGCAGTCTAATAGACTTCTCTGCCCTTCTATTTCGGCATACATTTCTTGGGTGACATATAATGTCCGGTGCTCACTTTTAAGGCACAATATAACATTATAATTATGACAGTTTCAGTTAAAGGAGACCTATTAAACTGCTTTTCCAGACCTATATTGTAGTTCTGTGAATCCTGTGGCAGCTTTGCATGATTATACTGACTCTTCATGTAGGGCTTCATTTCAGCCAACATATTAACATTGTAGAAAAGTCATAAAATGTGGAAAAGTATAAAAAGTCTCCTTTAAGAGTAATGAAACCTCATGAACCTAATAACCACAAACTGATATTTTAATGCAGGCTAATGAAAAATATGCAAAACACATACATAAGAACGTGGAATAAACCACATTGGTTTCTGATTGGCATGACCACTAAAATAAAGCACCAGGCTTAACTAAGCCTGACTGTTAGCCTGGTCTGGAGCAGGCTAGCTGCACAGAATAAATCGCCATGGTAACTTATGCGCTACCGCTTTCTTGAAACCAAATCATGGCTTAATTCAGCCAGGATAACTGGAAAACCCCAGCCTAATCCTATTTTGAATAGAAGTTTATGGTTCCCAGATGACCTTGCATAATGAGTTGCAGATCCCCTGACTTTTCCTCTAGCTCCACAGACATGAGGTTCATGTATAAGGTTCAGAGTGGAATGTCTTTCATCAACTATTGATTGGATTGCCATTAAATTTGGTATGGACCTTCATGTACAGCTCTGCATGAATTGCTATGATTGGGCAGCTGTGGCTCCGGGGGTGGAGGGTCATCCACTTATCAGAAGGTCCGTTGTTTGATCCTCCATTCTTCATGTTGAAGCGTCCTTGGGCAAGACACTGAACGCAGTTGGCACCTTGTGTATGAATGTGTGTGAAAGTGATTTAATGTAAAGCGCTTCAAGTGGTTGGAAAGACTAGAAAGGTGTTATACAGACATAACATTTCCGATACCCTAACATTTAATCTGGCGCCATGATTAGCTCAGATTTTTTTAATTTGGTAAATGTAATGGCAGAAAATTATTTTTTCCCATATAAATATATTAGATAAGAGCTGTGAGATGTTTTAGTGTTTTCCTTATTTGCTGTTTATCTCCTCTCCTTGAATGTTCATTCAAGGTTGGGAGAGGATCTCTGTTCCCCAAAACATAGAAACCTGTGTGTAAATGATGTTGTAGTACTTCTCTGTCATTCTCTTTTTATTAATAAATTCTTAACAGACAACGGTTGGTTGTTGCTCAATTACTTAATCCCTTTCCAGTAATGTACAATTTCCTCGACAGTAAATACTTCTAATGCATTATACAAATCGGCCTCAACCTGTCACGTTCTGCCTGTCGACAAGGTTTAAGTTTAGCTCTCTGTGGGTATATTTTGATCAGTTCAGTATCTGTCTTTTAGTATGTTGGGTTTTGGTTTCTGTCCTGTGTCCAGTAACCTAGTTTATGTCTGTGTTTTGTGTTGCCCTGTTTGCCAGTTGGTTCCATCTCTGTTCCCTACTTCATTCTGTTAGTCAGTTGTTTCCATGTTTCCTGTTTTGACGTTCGGTTCCTGGTACTGTATTCTCTGTTTAGCTTGGTGTATTCCCTTGTTCAGTAACTGGTTCTATTTAGCTCACTTTGTATCTGTCTGTCATGTATTATAGATTGAGCCCTGTGTCATAGCTCCTAGTTCTGTGTCTCAGTTTATGTCTTGGTGTTTACTTCTGGTCTGTGTTCTTGTGTTATTTTGCCCATGTCTAATCGGAGTTCTGTTTTATCTTTGCTTCAGTCTGTGTTCCTTGTTGTAAGTATATTCGTTAGCTGCCTGCTTGTGTCCGTCCCCCCAGTATTCCTCAGCTTGCTTGTCCACTAAATACTTTGAGTTCCAGTTAATGTATGGTCTTGTGTTTTGCACCTGTGAGTGTCAATTCAATTCAATTCAAATTAGCATTATTGGCATGAATGTGTAACAACAATATTGCCAAAGCATCATACGTACAACAATCAACCCCATACATTTCATTAAACAAGTAATTAAAGCGTAAAGTAATCAAAGTGTATGGTGTTTGTGTTAAAAAAAAAATAAAAAAAATATTAAAAATAAAAATAAAATAAATAAATAAAACGGTAAGCATGTTTTAAATAAAAATATATAAAAAAAATAAAATTAAAATAAATAAATGAAACTGTAAAGTGTGTGTGTGTGTGTGTATATTAATAGACATAAAATTTAAAAAATAATTAATTGATTAAAAATTATAAATTTAAAAAAAAGAAATAAGTATCAAATGTAAAAACAAAACAATTACTAAAATATCAAATGATCAAAATAATAATAATTTCACACTGTACAATTATTTATCAGTCTGAGGTTCCACTGGTTGTCCTCACTTCATGGCATGAGGAGACATATTTTGCAGCAATTATTTCACATTTGGGCATTTCTCCCATTAAATAGGGGAGTTTCTGTGTGTCTGATATGAATTCGAATTCGGGGTATATTTGGGAAATGTTTTTTTGTCTTAGGTTTTATATTTAGGGCATGAGGTTAGAAAGTGCAGTTCTGTCTCTACCTGTCCTCGTAGAGTCTCTCCTCTTGTGGTAGCCAGCTCTGTCTGTGGCGACACTTTTCTATGGCCAGGCTGTGTTCACTCAGTCTGGATGTTGTCAACATTTTTCTTAGTTTGGGACATTTTATTGTACTCAGGTAATTTGCCAGTGTGAGTTCTCTTTTTAGGGTCAGATAACATTGTAATTTACTTTGTGTTTTGGTCGTTTCTTTCCAGTATTCAATATATTTTTCTTTCTGCTTGCAGAAAGCTTGAGTGTCTCTCTGCCTCGTTAGGCATGTTAGTCTTGTTGAGAAAATGCACAAGCAGTATAATTTAAATTTATACAATGTTTTGTCACAGTGATGTATAAATCTGGGTTGACATGTAACTGTTAAAATAAATTTCCACAGTTAACTTAAACAAATGTGACATAAGATAAAATGGTTAAAATAACAATGCCTGACATCACAAAAATGCATCAGAAGTGCATATATCCAGTATATACGTGTGTGTGAAACAATATTATAAATTATTTATTTAACCCTGGTGCCTTCATTGTCATTCAGATTCAATTCAATTTTATTTATATAGCGCCAAATCACAACAACAGTTATCTCACAGCGCTTTTCATAAAAGAGCAGGTCTAGACCGTACTCTGTGATGTTATTTACAGAAGCCCAACAGTTCCCACCAAGAGCAAGCACTACAGAGGCAAGGAAAAACTTCCTTTTAAGAGGCAGAAACCTCGAGCAGAACCATGGCTCAGGGTGGGCGGTCATCTGCCTCGACCGGTTGGGGTGAAGGGGGAGGGAGGGGGAGAGAGAGAGAGAGAGAGAGAGAGAGAGAGAGAGGAGAGAGAGAGAGAGAGAGAGAGAGAGAGAGAGAGAGAGAGAGAGAGAGAGAGAGAGAGAGAGAGAGAGAGAGAAAAAGAGAGGGATGTAAGGAGAGAGAGAGAGAGAGAGGAGGGAGGCAGCCTACACAATATACACACAGAGGTACCATCAGCCTGGAGGTTGGCCGGCGATTTGTCCCGGTATTCAAGATGGCCAGACCGCCACTGCAATAAATACTTTATCATAGAAGCTGTTGATAAGAATCCTACTTAAAGTTCAATTCAATTCAATTTTATTTATATAGCGCCTACACAATATACACACAGAGGTACAAACAGTGAAGGTGATGTTGCTATAGACTACATGAAAAATGGTACAGATATTTATAGTAGTGTTAATGGTAACAGTCGTAATGTTAATGACTACAATAACAATAATAACAATAAGACTAGCAACAATAGTCGTTGCAGCAGAGGGTGTCGAGCAGGAACACAGGGGCAGCAGGTGACCCGCAACCACAGATCCAGACTCCACAGC